AACAGCTTGGATTTACACTTTACAATGTCTTGACGTGGAGGGCACGACGTAAAGATGATGACAGTGAGTAGCAGTTCATTTAGAGTACTTTATGCTGCTGCGACTTTATTTCTGACCGACAGCGGTGCGTGAATCGGGGTCAGTTTTATCACCGCTACAGACGGTGGTACAGGGCGTTTCAGGCAGCGCCGCTGCCGGGTTCCTCTTGGGACTTTTGGGGGTGGGGGGGGGGGGGCATTACATCATTAGACTGAAGGATATGCATGATTGTGCATATTTGTTGTTGACTCCTTTTTAAATGAAATGCTTCTTTAAAAAAAAAAAGCTGTTATTTATAGATGCTTAATAACATAATGATAAGGTGTCGCGGATGCCTTTTGGAATGAGCTCTATGGAAAACCAGCCTGGGCGTATGCGATGATGCCCCTTTAAATACCATCTAGAGGAGGACTCATTTGTGAGCGTAGTATTCTTTCTCATTGCAAATAAAGGCTCCCCTCCCCTGACTTAAAAAAAAAAAGGAAAAAAAAAAAAAAGCACCCACCCGGCTGTGGGGTTGATAACGGGGCAGCTGTCAATTTGCATGTATTTTTTTGGGCGAACCCCGCCTGTGTACAGTCTCTCTCTCTCTCTCTCTCTCTCTCTCTCTGTTAATCCCACAGCGGATCAAGCTCTGCAGCTCCGCGTGCAGCCTGCTGGCGTCTCGCGCCGTCTATCTAGGCGGCTCTCTCTCTATATATATATGAACTACTCGCTTTAAATGATTGCATTATTTGGGTCATGTGACCGCGGCGTTTTGACGCGATAGACGCTGCCTGGAGAGCGGCGAGGCTACGAATGTCGGAGGTAGCGCTTGAAGGAACGTAAAGGATCGGTGGACCGAGATTTAAGACGCGATTAGCACCTAACAGGGCGAGAAAAGCCAACCATGACAGCCCGGGTCTCACACCGCTGGGGCTGGTGACCATACTGTTCCACCAGGCAGGGCGCCGGATGAGCGCATTGGTAAGGTTCCGACTCTCTGGACCATCCTTCCATATGTACAGGGCCGGATTTAAATCTAAATTGCACTTCCTGGGTCTATTCCCACCTACACACCCGCTAAAACCCCCCACCCAGAGGTTAAAGGGATAATTGTTGTTATTTCTTTCTTTCTTTTGAGTAAGGTTCTGTGAATGTATTATCAATATTATTACCCCTATCTGCAATAGAAAGATAATTTCATATGGTAGTGAGCTTGTGTATATACATCATCAGGGTCTTGGCTAACAGAACTCTACTTAATTAGCTAATTTTCATGATAAGCTAATTGATATACTTGGGATGAGACTGGAAAAACATGTTATGCTGGCAGATAACAACTGACAAAGATGTGTATGAGTTTTTTTTGGGCGAACAACAGTGGTATCATTTTTAAATTTAGGTTGCCATTGAACAAATTACTCCATTTTGCAAAATTCAGAAGTTTTCTGACTGTTGAGTTCGACTGATATTTGTGCCTTTTGTGATGTCATTGACCGAAACACACACGAAGCAGAATTAGGAGGTTTTTGTTTTGTTTTTGTTTGTTTAATGAAATCTGGCAGCTTTACCAACGGTTGCTTGGCAAAGATGCTTAATATCAACTGATATGCTTTAGGATTTTCAGTTTAAAGCAGTGTTTCTCAACCCTGGACCTCACCGCCCCCCTATCCTGCATGTTTTCGGTATTTCCCTTGTACCACACACCTGAATTGTATCTCTGGGTGATTAACAGGCTTCTGCAGTACTTGATGGTCATGCAGTCATTTGAATCAGCTGTTCTGGAATAGAGGCACATCTAAAACATGCAGAGCAGGGGGACAGTGAGGACCAGGGTTGAGAAACACTGGTTTAAAGAAAAAATAAATCAGCTAAAACAGGAGATTTCTTTCACTGGTTGTGTTTGTCTTGAAACTGCAATCTCTTATCTGTCGGAAGTGGCAGATTAGAAATATCAGAAAACAAAAAAATGGAGTCTGCCAGGAAATTCCTGATTGTTGCACCTATTTTTTCCCAGATCTGGATAAATATGGAGAAAAAAGAAAATCCACTGTTGAAAATGCTTTTTTCCAACAGTAGATTAAAGCAGACCCTTTTTTCCTTGGTCTAAAAATCTAAATTTCTAAAACAAAAAAGGAATACATTTTTAAAGACCTACATTCATTTCTACAAAGATAATATCCTTCATCTATGGGGTGCCAAAACAAAAACTAGTCTGTGATTATGATATTACTCTGTCATAAAGCTGACAGGCCGTTTGTTTTGCATCTAGACCCTCTTAGATTAAAGTTTTAAATTGGATTTTTGGTTCTGTGCCAGACAAAGCATTAATCATTGATTCAAAAAGCATTTTTCTTAATGCACGTAAACCCAGACAACATTTCTGTATTACAAATGAAAAAAGAAAGACATGTCAATTGATTTGGTGAACTGGTCAAAATGAAAAAGCAGACCAGTGAAATCACTGGTTTACCATCCTACTACACCAGTAGCCACCTCAACATTGTGCTTCTTAATAAAACAAAAGATGCTTTGTACTAAACTGAGTAGAATTTTAAAGCGACTCAACGAAAAAGTTTGATTTCCACATTACTCACCCAAGTGACTTCTTGGAGACCCAAACCTTTAATGTAAAATGCTGCCATTGTTTTCTCTGCTACTTGATAACATATAGCCAGCTAAGGCTAAATCTCACATCCCATCTAAAGTGGACTTATGATTTTTTTTTTTCTGGACATTTGCATGTCAGTCTCATCTCTGCAGCAGCTTTACTTCCATTCCCTTCTACTTGTTTCTCGCAGAATTGCAAGTTCCTCAGAAGGGCTTTATGATTCCACATCCCATCAGCACTTTTCAGATGGACTCTAAGATGCTGAGTCACATTGCTTTCCCACAGCAAACACGTTTCCTGCACTTCCTTTCGCAGTAAGCAGCTGCGTGATCTTGTCGGCCTAACTTATTATACGTTTCTTAGGGTAAGCATAACGGCGAGCACTTATATGTCTCCCCTCCTCCGTTTGGTCTTGCATGAGAAGCAGAGCGGATTCCGTCCTCTTGGTCTACACCGGCATTTAGCAAACTTTGTAATTAATTAGTTTGCAGAGCAGCTCATAATGTGCTCACAGAGGAATGTGTTGTTAATTTGTCTTTTGCCCCGAGAGAAATTTGGCTGTGCTTTGCTTTTTATTAGGTATTAAAGGTAGTGAGACATTGTGATGAAGGTACGCTGCTTTGGAGGGGAGGGAAAAAAAAAAAAAGAAATATTGCAACAACCAATGGCTCCGGTTTGGTGGAGATTTGTGGACGGTTGTAAACAACAGGGACATTTTCATTAGTTGTGCACCTATCAGTTAGCTGGTGCAACACAGACAAGGTCAGACAACAGCTCCAGACTCACCTGTTCATGCCACAGTTTGCTGTGCATTAACATTTCTCCGCCGCTCTCTCGCAACGCTCATAGCACTCTGTTTAGTCCCTGTGCTGCTGTGCAGATGTAGCAGTAGGCAGTGGAGCGGTATTCTGACACGCTAAGCCACAAAGACCCCTCCCTTACGATGCGTGTTTGTGTCAAATGTTGCACAAGGCCTTTCCGTGCAATCTGCCATGCATTTAGAAACGGAGTAACATGAACCTAATTACAGTACTCATAAGCAAAGTTCAGCAATAGTTGGCATCGCTATGTGAAATTCTCACAGTGTGAATCAAAGACTGTATTAACATGAAATATGTAAAATAAAACTGGAGTTCTAATAATGCAGTTAGAAAGTTTAGTTATTGTAATTTTCATTGCAAAATAATTAATAATTAACAATTAGTAGTTTTGAAGTGCTTATTGCTCATAATAATATACCTTTTTGTTGTTCTGCTCTTCATGCATAACGTAGTTATAAAAAGCTGATGTGTTTTGGGGCGAAAGATGGGTTAAATAGTTTGTTATAACCTTTTAAACGCTTAGCTAACTACATCATTTAAAGTGCCATTACAGAATACTACTCTATATGAGGACCAAAGAAGAGTGAAACCTGAACGTCTCAGAGGAGACCTTCTGGATCTAACAGAAAAAGCAGTGAAAGACGTAGCTTTGGCTGGAAAAGAAAGGAAACTGTGGAGGAATTTCTGAAATGGCTGAGATAATTACAGATGTGAGTTCCCATGACTTAAATTATATACCATACACAGCAGATTGTTTGTGCCAGTAGCCAGCCTCCACTCAGCTGTTTAACAGACATGTGGCTTATAGCTTGGAAACTGTAACGTTAAAAGCATATCGGCTTAACGAGAGTGATGGGTGGTGCTCTTTTAGGTTCCTCATGACTGTCCCTGTTTTCATGACCAGGATTTTCCAAATAGCTGGATTTGTATTTCGCTTCAGTGGGAAAAAAGACCTAGAATGGGTTTCTAGACTTCATACAGATGGAGAAAAGAGTTTTAAATAAAATAAATAAATAATCTGAAATATGGAAATCAAACTGAAGTTGAAGCAAAACAATTAATATAATTAAAGAAATATAAAAAAATTAATGAAATTAATCGATTAGGTTCTATCAATAACATAACATAGTTTTACCAAATTCTGTTTTCTGAAACATTAAGCACTTTTTCCAGTTGTATTCAGTATCATAGGATATATATAAAGTATATATACATAGGATAACATGACATAAAGTTTTATATGTATTTAAATTAGCTGACAAAGCTTCCAGCAACAGGTTTTCACACACAGCGACTCTGTTCAGAATATCTGGCATAAGTAGTTCAGCTGTTGGTACAATAAGACAATCATCTGTAAAACTGCAGGAGGAAGGAAGTTCCTGCAGGTCAGGAAGTGCTTTGTGGTTGCCTGTCTAAAACCACAACACTTCTGTGACTAATCCAAACTTCCCTTTATTCTCCTTTTATGTTTCTCCTCCCTTTGCTTTTCCTATGCACACACTTTTAGGCATTTCATCCTCAATCTCCATTCTTTTTTTATCTTACAGGATTATCGAGAGGATGGCATGGACCTGGGGAGCGACGCGTCCAGTCGCTCCAGCTCAGAGTCCAACTCCAACAAGGTTACACCCTGCTCTCCTTCTCTTGACCTGGCCAATCTGGAGGACTACAAATCCTCCCCGTCCCCAGATTTGGGCACTCTAGATGACTACGAGGAGGATGAGGACTACCAGGAGTACAAGAAGAAGGTGATGGAGGAGTGGGAGAGCGAGTACGGCGAGGAATACACCTCCCCGCAGGCCCCTGGTCAAGACGAAAGCAAAGAGAGCGCCGTGAGCGGTAGCGGTCTAAAAGAAGGTTACAGGAAGTCGGCGAATGCTCGCAGCCTCGCCGAAGAATTCCAGGATGTGAAGACGGTGCCGCCCCTGCCGGCCCCCGCAGGACGCACCGCCACCTCCGTGGCAACTGTCCCAGATGAACTGAAGCAGAACGGGAATCTGATTCTGCCCCAGAGCAACCAGCTCCACTCCTCCGGCACAGCCGAGGGAGGACCAGACACTCCCAAAGCTGGCCACCGCAGCTCCGGTAAGGGCAGGGGGAGCCGCAGCAGTGGCAGGGGTGCTGGTGGTGGCGGAGGAGGAGATGGCGGCGGAGGAGGAAGTGGAGGAGCTGGGGGTCCGATGCGGGAGTACAGAGAGGGGCAGGAGGAGAGCGTAGAGGAGGAACCCCTGCCCACAATGGATTGGGCGGCCCTGGAGAGACACCTGGCCGGTCTGCAGTGCAGAGAGCAAGAGAACCAAAACCTGAACCACAACCAGAACCACAACATGGGCAAGACCAACTACACCTCGGTGAGTGTGCACACGTCAACACGTCGTTCTTGAATCTTGCTGTGCTGAGCTTCTCATGTCAAAGGTCGTCTCTGTCATAATAAACTCGCCAGCAGCCGTAATCCTGTGGTCAGCCATCTCAGATAGACCCTGGAAACACAAGGTTAGGTCAGTTGGAGTACGGAAGAGGGATTAGTTGGCTAATGTAGTGCTAAACTATGTGACCCATGCATCTGTTACCATGACGATCAGGACAGTCTAACACAGCTGGCAGGACGTAGAGGAGCAGCAAACATCCAGCCCACTGTTAATTTATAGTGTTGATTGGGGAAGCTGTTTGACACTTTAAGGGGGCGTTCACACCAGCCTCGTTTAGTCCGCGTTAATCCAACTCTAGTTCATTTGCCTAGAAAGTGTGGTTTGCTTGAACCAAAACAACTAATGCTGTTCACCTAAAAAGGTAGGTCTGAGTTTGGTTGAAATGAGCTGTAGGCATGGTTTGAATGCATAGGTCGCAAGCAGACTGGAGACTGCTCCAATGCTCCAAAAGTGGGAAGCGGACTATAGCATGGGGGATTTGGGGTAAATACAACCAAACTAACATCTGAGTCTAGCTCTTGCATGAGAAATGGCTTGTGGTCTTCTGGCAAAGACATAAAAGAAATCCTAAAACCCCTAAAATCTGGCACCAGTTAATTTTTGTTTACATTTTGTGAAGAAGGAAGTTGTGCTCATGTCTTCTTCTTAGGAGGTTTAAGTGCCATTTCTGTCACTGGTTCTTGGTGCAGCGCCACCACTGGTGAGGGGAGGGACAGGTTCTTCTAAGGGTTGGATCATTTGACACAGCAGAGTGTGAAAACGAACCGCACCTGCTGCAAATGGAACAAATGTTGCAATTTTGCTTTCCAATCGAACCGAATCCAGCAGATTATCAGGTGTGAAAAAATAAGTCACATACATTATCAGTCATTTTGGGTCTGAAATAAAAAAATTAAAAAAATCCCAGATCAGAGTTGTAAATATAAAGCAACCCAGCTCATAATTCTTAATATTTCATAGCTGTTGACAGTCTTACTCTAGAGTTCGGTCGTTGACCTACTAGAATTAATGTCTAACCCAATTTCTAGAGACAGGAACGTTCTTTGTTGTTGCCATGTGGCGCTTCGACCAGAAGAGGTCAGTGTTGCATCGACATTGAGCTTCTCCTGGCTGTGTGGATGCATTCCCATCAGTGCCAGCATGAAAGCTGGATATTTATTACCATGGCAGCTTGAATCATAACTCTGACTCACCCCCATAGTTTAAGTGTTTGTCTGAGGCTCCAAAAGGGTGTAACCTTAAAATGTGCAGTGGAAAACTGAACCAACAGCGGGTAAATGTTTGCTTGAAAAACACAGAATGATGCTTCCTCCCCCCAACACCTCTTCTTCTATTGATATGCGAGCACCAAGACCTTTTCCTCAGTGCACACACACAATGGCTGTGACCCGAGCTATTGTGGCTGTGTTGTGTGTGTTGTTTGTCTGTCCTGGAGTCCTGAAGCCCCCCTCTCCTCCTCCTCCTCCTCCTCGCTTTGTCTCCTTGAGGCACGTCAGGAATGCAGCAGGAGATGTGGGGGATGAAAGACAGGAAGAAAGGAAGGGAAAGGACAGGAACGAGGAGCGAGCAGTTCAGGGCCGCATGGCTCGTGTGTTTGTGTCAGTGCTCGTTACCTGCTGTCCGCCTTAAACAAGAAGACCACCCCCTGCTGTGCTTTAGACGGGGGGAGTCTGCGCTCCCTTCCTTCATGCAGTGGGGTGGGATACAAATGACCTCGCTGGAAGAAAACTTAGAATCATATGGATCGAGGACTGTGACATCAGTTTCAGAGAGAGTCTTGGAGATGATTCTGGGACTAATAAAGTCCAAGGAAAACCATGCCATAGTGACATTAAGACAAAGATGATAATTTAGGGCATATTCCCTTTTAAGATGCACCGATTGGCCGACACCATACTTCCGCTTTGCTCACCTGCTGGGCTTGATTTCAGATTGAGATCCTTTTTTTTAATTATTTTAAGGACACATTAAAGAGAAAGAAAATCTGCTGCAGGGTGTTTGGTAGAGGTAGTGGTTTTGAATGCAAAATAAAGTGAAAAAATTGCAAGATTAACCCCAAATACATGTCAAATCTCACATCCTTAATCTGTATTTGATTTTTTTGCAGCACGATAAGGTGCATCACAGTTGGTTGTTTTGTTTACAGACCAAAAAGGATGATAAGACGTAATGCTTTGACACGATGAGTATATTGGTTTAAGATCTGTGTTAGAACTGTTTATTTGAAGGAAACAGAAGTGCCAGCGCTTTGTTTGGGATCCAAACTGGACCTAGTCTTAGAGGGGAAAGTAAAGCCTTAATTGGTCCTTCAGATGAAAGTATTAAGACAACAGCAAACGTGGCGACAGCGAAGCAAATCTTGATCATGTTTGTTCTCAGAAAGAGACGTAAAACAAGGCACAGACTTCTAGACGGAGACGGTTTGAAACATTGTGGAGTTTAGATGGAAACATGCCGCCATTTTTGTCATCTTTGTTCCCTTTGCACGAGTCTTTCTGCGCTACACTGTTCCCGTGATTACTGCTGAAATTTCTCCATTTGTTGTGTTCAGACTTGACTAAAACATGCTCAAAGTGAATGCAGAAGACGTACAGATGGCACCGTCCAGATGCCTTCACCTATTTGATGTTGAGGATAATTAGGCCTTCAATACAAGTCACAACATAAAAGACAATTTTTTCAGAAGTTCTGCTTTTTATCTGCTGGATAACAAAAAAAAAAAAAAAAAAAAAACATTACCTTTCTTCCTTTTACTTTTCGTAACCTGTAAAATTGAGATCTACTGATCAGCTGGTAAAACATTAGTATCTGATTTCCTTTCAAGTTTGACCAGAATTGCATTTTCAGCTGTTTCTGCAGTTATGAGACAGTCCTAAATTTGCTGGACACAGCCCAGGACAAAAGAAATGGCTTTTAAAACGGTGTTAAATATTTTAGATCCACACAGGCCGGACCCACCAGCGAAACACTGAGTGTGATCATTTGCAGACGGGTGTGTCTGTCTGAGATGTCGCAGGGCTCCACTGGGACTGAAACAGTCACGCATCAGAAGATCTTAGAGCTTAAGAGAAGCACGACACGAGGCACCTAATCTGCAGTGATCACTGCAGTGACTCACAGAAGCAGTCAGAGCCCCTGAACTTTATCATGTAGTTTCTAATTTTGTTACCATTTAAAATATATATATAAAAATAATAATAATAAAAAAAAGTGCTGTGCATTTGTATTCGTCCCTGTGCAAATGCAAGTTTGTTCAGGGTACGTGTCTGTCTGCCGAGCAGACCTGTGTGTGTTTTATTTCATCCTTCTGAAAAGGCAGCCTTGCTCAAGATTCCCATCAAATCCTGATGAAAAGCCTCCCCACAGCACAATGCTGCCACCACTATGTTTCACCTTGGAGAGCACTTAAAAAAATAAGTACCTTTGGTCTTGTTTCTAGTGCAAATATCTTACTACACTTGGAATACAATAAAACTAAATTTAAGTAACTTTTCAGAAAGGTATGGGAACTGGTTTTAAGTCAATAACTCTTGAATATAGACTAAAATTACTAGTCCCACTGGGAGATTATGTAACTTATAACATGGAAAAAAATGACTTGTTATATGTGAAAAAATCTACCAGTGGAACTTTTCATCTATATCCAGTAGTCATTGACTTAAAACAAGCTTCTATATCTTGTTGAAAATTTACTGGTAAGGTAGTTTTGTCATTTTTCAAATGCACTAGGACTGAAAACTAGACAAAACACTTAGTATGATTAAATATTTTTGTTCAGCGAGGGACAAGTGGAGTGTTGGTTTTCCATCACTCTGTTTTGCATGTAGGCCTAAAGTTCAGTTTTGTCTCCATCTAATCTTCTACATAGAATCTCAACATCAAGCAGCAACTTCAGACTCTCCCACCAGAGCTGTGGATATCTGCAGCTCAGTGACCAGTCATGCCCTGATATTTGCTTCATGCTCTTTTCATGTTCAGATTTTCAATTTCTCCGTTCAGATTTTCAAAACTTGGGAGATTGTTTTTCTTTCTTCTTTTTTTTTACCTCACTTCTGCAGTTGCAACAGAGCATTTATTTTCTCAATGACCATAAAAAGCTTCAGCTGTTTGAATCCCATTCAGCTCTGCATGAAAGGCAGCAGGTGTGTTTGGTCAGGGTGTGGTCTCTAGCTGCTGCAGAGTCAGTGCATGCCTGCAAGCATGCCTGCAAGTGTGGAGGCGCGGTGACCCCACCTTTTAGCTCATCTCTAATTGATCTGCAGAAACGTGGGCAGAGAGCTTTCCACAGGGACCACAATCACACCCAGGGTAGCATGACCTCTCCCCCCTTTAACTAAACCCATGATAATAAAATCAGAGCAATATTTTTTTCCTTCTTCTCCAGCCCTCAAGTTAAGAAAAGCTGACAGAGACGGCCTTCGTGTTCGGTATGGCTGTCAATTCTCAAAAAGGGTATTTATTGTATATTCTCGAAGTGATGCGCTTCAGAGGTGTTAAAACTTGTGCCTACAGGCTACTACATTTCTGTGTCAGAGCTCACACGCCCAGACGTGCGTACGTGTTTTAAAAACACCCTGTGGGCAGACTGTGGTTACAAAGATAGCGTCTCTGCTGAGACCTGCAGCACTAAATCTGCTTACAATGTGCCAAGAAGAAAACCTCTGTCACTCAGACACATATTTACTAAACCCGCTAGAAGGTTTACACCACATGCTACGTAAAACCTCGAGGGAAATGTGCGGCCTGATGCAAACAGAAGACTCATTGTTCAGTGATGCGCGCAACAAAAAGTTTGATGAAACAGATTTCACCTTATTCCAGAGACAAGATTTTGGTTTTTGGAACCCGGCTCTGAATTTATTCTACTGTCCAAAAATAACAAAAAAACAAAAAAAGTTTCAGGTAAACGTTAGATTGGACTCTTCTTGAATAGTTACATTAATATAACATCATTTATAATAATAACTAGCATCACTTGTTTGTCATATTTGGGTTTTTATTCTACTTTTTTTCTTTTTTACATTCCTCCAAAGTTCTGTCATTCTGGTGGGGATTTCTTTTGTTTTTCAGTACATCCTTTATATTTCACATAAAACTATAAAGGCTGCAGGAAAATAAAATATGCAGACTTGAATCTGAGCTTTGCTGTCTTTATGAATAATTAGGTATGACATAGCTTTTTATCAGAATCCATGTTTTAAAAAGAGAGAGAACAGTTTAATAATAATAATAAAACATCCCTGTCAGGATGCATTAAAAGTGGTTCACATTCTGAGTTTTACCAAAGGAGATTTTTACTTATTTATTTTTTCAAATCAGTTTTGATTTGATTAGATTTTCCAAAAGCGAACATCAATTTATAGGGATGGATGTCTCAATCAGAGTCTTCAAACAATGCCATCTATATGCTTGAGAACTTGATAACTTGAAAGTAGATTAATATTGCACTCTATATTTTATTAGGACTGTTTCAAATTTATTCAAAAATGATGTCTCGGGTGTGACATTTTGTCCCAACTACAGTTTCTGCTGGACAGCCACAACATTTTAACGGGAATTAAAGCCTATTTTTGCCTTGGCTGTATTCTATAAAAATATGTTGTTTTTTTTACATATATATTTAAACTGTCACTATGTCCTGACAGTGTAATATGATCTCCTCTGCCTTCTCCCTGTGGTCCTACCGCCATCTGCAGAAACAGACTGTTTGATCAGAAACAACCAATCAGATCCAGGAGGATGGTCTTAGCACAGTCAATCATGCCAGTGTACGTATTGCTCACATCGCCTCCACCCCCCTTACTCTCTGGTACGCTACAGCTAGTTACCCACAACGGAGCCTGTCATGAATGCTCAAGCTAGTAACCTGGCCATCAATGATGGTGGATGAGCAGTTTTCATGTAATAGTAAGTTGTTTCTCCGCTGTTGGCACAGCTGCAGCACGTACAAGAGAGTGATTGACAACGCTAAGACCCTCCGCATGGCTGTGATTGGTTGTTCCTGAACGGAAGTGGTGCATTTCTGCAGATGGAAATAGGACCACAGGGAGGAAGCAAACAAACTGGATTTTTTTTTTCACAAATCATTTGTTTCATACTGTCACAACATGTTTAAAAAATATATGTATTTTTATAAAAGTTACCTACTGCAGCTTTAAGGGCAAGCTAAACGAGTGACGTGGTGATTACGTATAGTTTGTGAGATCAGCTAGCTGTAGGGTTTACAGGCATTAACAAAACTCAGAGATCATTTTCGACAGAGGATTAAGAATGTAAGATATATTGTTCAAATCTGATATTTGCTCTGGGAACAACAGGATCACAGTCGTCATTTCTAAAAGTCTTGTCATTGCTGGTTTAAGAGAGAAATCTGTTATTGTTTGTTTTTTTAAGGCTGTTATGATGCTGCCATAATTAATTCAGAAAAGTACAGAAATGCTATGAGAACACCTCGGACAATACATGTAGCTTCATTTTTTGTTGCTAAAGATATATAAGACTCAAAACATAAAGCAATATTCTTCAATAAACCCATGTAAAATGTCCTCCTGCTTATAAACGTAGCACTATGCTGTGAATGTTGTAGTATGGGTTGGGGGTGGTTTAATGACAGCCTAACCTTGACAGTAACCCTATCTGAGCACAGCACACAGAGCAGGTCACATGACGGACTAGACAGAGAGGAAGAATCTGTAACCAAGTCTCTTTTTACCCTGTGAACGTTGATATAAACAGTTTGATTACTTAGAAACCATCGGATTTGCTATAACATACGTGGCCTCGGTCACAAAAATGTTCATCCATTCTCAGATTACACATTATCTGATTAAAATAAAACCCTGAAACAATTTTTAGTGCTTATTCTCTCATTTTCATCTCTCAGCTGAGGCAAAGCTAAACTATGTAGCAGCCGAGTGTTGTTTAAAATGATCACATAAACAGTCAAATAAGCCGAGAACCGATCTAAACCGTGCGAGTGTGCAGTGCTCTGCCACAGAAAAGCACTTAATGGCGTCTGAAAGTAAAAACAGAGAAGCTCTTCATGGGCATGTTCAGCCACTGAACTGCATCGACAAGCCTCTACTAACAACCTAACTACCACGTTTACCCAGAACTCGCCTTGCCACGTAAGGCAACAGATTTCTGTCTCCAAACAGTTGGAGGCAGAAAAAAATTACAGGGTTTGAAAGCCTTGAACACATGGTGGAGGGGATATGAATAGGTCCAAGCACTCAGAGAGAGGAGGTCACGAAAGAGTCGGACTGCGGGGCTTTAAAAGCGAATGTAGGTGAGAACTACGGGTTCAGAGCTGTTGCATTGGATAAACATGATGGTCTGACAGTACAGAGTAACACACAATCGAGATTTACCTGGGCAGAGCATGAAGGCAAGCTCTAGGGGGCGGAGCTACACCCAGGTGTGGTGAACTCTTTTCTGAGGGTTTATTTTTTTTTGTCTTAATTCAACCCCATATAACAAATGTCTCCCCCGCCGTGCGTGTGTGAGTGTGTGATACTAGCCAAAGCACGCCCGGCCCGCGGCACACCAGAACTCAAACACACATAAACCGTCTGCAGCGGTCTCGGCTCCAGAGCCTCCTGTTACTTTAAACACACACGCTCAATCTCAGCTGTCCACATCAGATGAAAGGATAACGTTTTGTCTTCTTATCTACTCTGACCCTGCCAGTGTTTACACACGTTATCTTTTGTTTCCTATCTTTGTTTTTTGTTGTTTTTTCCTGTGGAATATTTTTTTCAATCTCAGATTAACCTTGGATTCCTCACAGCAAGTTGGGCATTTAACTCAGGTAAACACCCAGCTTCCTTACTAGAGCGAAGATGTCAGGTCGTAAATGTTCAGACAGACTTAGACAAGTCTTTTGGCAAAAAGCTTTACATTTATTTATAGCTCAGGGCTCCACATTCTTCTGCTGCGACATGTCGTTTCTCCAGCTTGTACGGACCTGGAATCATACAACAGTTTTACTTCGAACATAACTTTTTAAGCCAGCTCTTTTTCAGTCTTTTTTAGTCATTTCTAAGCTCTACTTTACCACTCCGGTGAAAGGAGAATACCTTTCCAAATGCTTGTTATGTGCATTTGAGCCGGGCTTTATGAAAGTCAGTCTTTTGCTTTCGCTGTGCAGCTGCTTTGAATATATTCTTACCTTAAGGGGCAAAGAGTTTACGTGCTGCACCAAGCTGAGCTAACAGAGGTAAAAAAAAAAAAAAAAAAAGACTGAAAAAAGTTACAGATTACGACTAAATTATGCAAGAGACAACTGGAACCACAAAGCGAATTGCACTTGTAGGTTGTTTTTTGTGGAGGAGTAAAAACTGCAGATGCAAAGTTTTACTACGTGCTACCTTAAATGGAGAAATCTTTACCACAGTCACATGATCTCTCTTTTGCCCCCGTTGATCCAGTATGCCTAGGATGTCTGATGTGCTAAAGGGTTTGCTTAGATTAAAGTTAACAGTGTGATTGACAATTAGATGGATAAAGTCACAGTAATGTCATTTTTGGGTGTGTTAGCTTATATTTTTATAACTCATGTCACTCAAAAAGCATTTTGTCTGTTACTGTCTTTTAAAATTAGGTTTTCAGTGGTTAATTTGATTGAGAACTGTGGAAATTATAGCTTAGCATTTTCTGCCACATCATATCCAAGCCTGAATGGACGTTCTGTTTGGCCGTTCCTTTTGTCTAATATCCAAACTTCAATGGATACAATATAAAAAAATAAATAATAAGACTTACTTTAGCACTAACTTTTTTCACATTTTCTCACAATAAACCCAAAAGGTTCATTGTTTTTTTTTTTTCCTGTAAAGGTCTCATAAGTTTGACAGAGGAAAAGTCGTGGAGAGGTTTGAAGTAAAGTTGTAGTAAGGAGAGCATTAGTCACAGAAGCAGAGGCCTGTTGTAAAT